GAGAGACAGAGACAGAGACAGCCCAGAAGCCCGGCCCGTATCATCTTGCTCTCTCTGCACTGAGAGATAGACGTATGCTTAACATGCAGTTGGAGCTAGTGTGCATGTGTGTGCGTGCACCCGTCCATATGCACTGGTGTGTGTGTGCACTAGCAACAGGAGGCTGGTGTTGCATTCCAAGGCTCCGCCTTCGCCCCACCGAGGGAGCCGGGGCCCCAGGCTGCAGGGGTGCTGGCAACAATGTCACTGTGTGCTTGTGCAGGGAGGCGGGCGGGCGGGAGCCTCGGCAGGGTGTCAGTGTGTCTCAGCCTGTGAGGGGGCGGTTGCGTGGGGGCGGAGGTCTGCCGCATGCACCAGAACATGTGAGTGCCTGCCGCTCGGATGGCTTGCAGGGGAGGGAGGAAAGGCTGTCCCCTCCCATGTCCTTGCCACCCCCGCGTAAGGACCTGCTCTCCCCAACTCTTCATTCTTGGCCTCTGGCCCCTGCACATCACTTGGCCCCCTCCCCTGGCTTGGCCACTGCCTCTCCCTTCGACCTTGAGCAAACCACTTCTCCCTGGGCATTGACTTCACCATCTGTGCTATGTGTGGAGACAGTGCCCGTGGTCCTTCCAGTTCTGAGGTCCTGGGAATCTGAAATTCCCCGTGTGTGCCTCCCACAGAGGAGGCCTAAAGAGGGCAGCAGCTCCAAAGGGACGCTTTAGCATCTGCAGAGCTATTCCGATCCCGTTTTACAGGTGGTAAAGTTGAGGTACATCGAGGACAAGGGCTCCGCCCAGGGTGGCCCAGTAGATGAGCAGCAGAATCATGACTGGAAAACAAGCTCAGAGTCCCCTCCCCCCCAGGCCACCACCCCTCTTCCTAGTAGGGTTCCCCAGACACAGCGCCAGGGGAGGACCGTGTCATCAACATTCCCGCCCATGTAGGTGCTGGAGACCTACACGCCAGTCTGAGCGCTGCCACCGGTCCCCCGAGCCGGTCGCTCCCCCTGCTCAGCCTCGGTCTGCTCATCTGGGAGATGGGTGAGTAAGCCCTCTGCCTCCCACAGATGGGCTTGCGGGCCCCACAGTACTGCCAGTGTGATAAGTTATCAGAAGCAAAATAAAAGCACAACATCCGTCTTTGGGTGGTGCGTCCATACCCAGGTGTTCTCTCTCTCTGGTGTTACATCACCAACCCTCTAGCAGCTCTGCCGGGGAAGCGCCAGATAGCTAAACGCATTTTGCAGACATTAGAGTTTGCATCCCCAGAGGGAAATCTAAGCACCAGGGATGCTGGACACCCAAGTGCAGGGAGCTGCCTCTGGGCCCCAGTGTCGACCCCTGATCAGCCAGCCCAAGTCCGGTTCACGATGCAAAGCCTTGGGCGTTGGAGGGGCAGAAGCTCCACAGCCAGCTCCCCAACCTCGCTGGCCCCTGGAGCTCCTCCCCCAGCCCCAACACCACCCTTGAGTCATTTCGAATCTCTGTTTCTAGAGAGAAAAGAGTAGGTTGCACCTGCTCTCCAGTCTCCCTCCCTCCCTCTCCTCTCTCAAGTAATAGCTCCTTCAGAGGCTCTTTCTGCTCTGCCTGCTGATAACACAGGCTGCAGGGCAATTCTCGGTCTCCCTCACCTCTCCTGGAAGCAGATCCAAAGCCCAGAGGGTGTCAGAGCCTGGAGGAAACATTCTCCTTCTCCACCTCCTTCCCCTCATCCTGGTCTCAGGAGAGCAGAGAACGCAGAGCGCCTGTCTGGTCCATGGGGAGCGATAGCCCGAGTGCCCGGCCCACCCTGACCCCTGAGCAGACATTGTGGCAGCCTGCCTCCCAAATAGCTTCTGTGCTCCTAAGGTCTGGGCTTTATTTCTCTCATCGCCTGGGAGGAAGGAGGATTGGGGCCAAGGGAAGGGAGAGTGAGCTAGGCTCTGCGTCCCAAGAGGGAGCTCACCTCACCACTCTAGGGGACCTGAAATCAGTTCCCGGCTTATCTGAGTCTTATGCTGCAGTGGGACCTTCCTCCAGGAGCATTAAAAGGCCCTGCCCAGGCCACTGACTCCAGCCCACATCCCCCACCTCAGCTGACTGCCCACCAGCAGGGAGAGGGGCAGCTTCTCTTACAGCCCCAGCCAGCCCTACCCCTCGGCTCCTCAAAGGCAGGCCTGCAGCCACAAGCCAGGTCGCATCGGGCAGGGCACCAGGCAGCCCTCGAGAGGCACGTGCCCGCCTCTCCAGCCAGGCAGCCCGGGTCCCTGCAGAAGGATGTCCAGAGGCTCCCTGTCCCCTTGTAGGGCCCACCCAGCTGCCTTGGCCAGCCTCCCTGCCAGCGATCTGAAGCGAGCTCCTGGACCAGGGGCTCGGCATCTGGGCAGTGACTGCGGTGTCCTGGCTGGGATGAGCCCCTCAGGCATCTTCGGTGCTCCAGTCCCCAGAGGCCAGGCTTGTCACTACGTCTTCACACGCACTATCTCCTCTCATTCTCTCAGCCCTTTTGCATCTCCAGATTACAGGTGGAGGGAGAGAAGTGCCATAGCCTGCCCAGTGGGTAGTGGAGGTCCAGAGCCTGTGCCCTGTGCCGGGCACTGCCCCTCTCTGCCCTGCTGGGCCCTTGGACTGAAGCTGCTATGCAGAGCTGAAGAAGCCCCCGCCCCCAGTGGTACCCTGGCCTTTTAAGCCAGGCATCCCAGGTGTGGGTCCTCATCCCCTTTTTCCCAGTGCAAGCACCCTTAACCTGAGGCCCATCCACAGCCTTCCTGATGTCCTGCAAGCTCCTGACGTTGCATGCAACGTATTTTAGGTTTGCGCATTTTCCTGAGGAATGTAGACTTAAGCCTTTCATCAGACTCCTGGAGGAATATGTGACCTAAAAAAGGTTAAGAGCGCTGATGATTCTGGAAGGAAGAGGTCTGAAATTGATTAGACAAGACCGGGCCATGCCTGCCACCCTCAGTGTCCGTGCCATGCGCACCCCAGTGCTCCCTGGCTCCCGGAGCGCTGCCATGGCCCGGTCCTCCCAAGAGCCCTGGCAGGCAGCGGGGCTGAGAGGGCTCCCTGCCAAGCCGCCCCCACAGCACCCACTCTCCATGATCTCCATCTCCTCTTGGGGCAAAACATCACTTTTATTGTCATTTTGAGCACCTGAGTCACATTTTAACTCCATTTCACTGCACTCTGTGACGCAGTCCTCCCAGACCGAGCCTCGATCACACCCTGAAAGGCAGCTCCCAGCTAGGGAGGGAATCCAGGTGAGAAAGGGGGTCCCTGTGCAAGTTTGGCAGACAGCCTCAGTCCCCTGGGGCAGCCCTCGGCATTCTGCTCCTGCTGCCCGCCCCCTGGCACGGAAACACACTCAGAACGGCAGGCAGACAGCAGACAAGAGTGAGCACACATCTGCACAGGGGTGCGTGTCTGTACGAAGGAGCTGGTGTGTGCCTGTAGGTGTCAGGATTTCCCGGTATGCTCGTGTGCGTGTGCAGGCAGCCTGCTTGTACACAGCCACAGGCCCACCTCCCACATGCATGCAGACACCAGCATGAGCTCACAACACCCACATCCCACCCGAGCTTGTCGACCCAGGCTACACACACACACACACACACACACACACACACACACAATCTTCCTGTTTCCTGCCCTCGTGTCTTCACATGGATGTGCATGTCCAGACCTCACGGGGACCGGTGTGCCCAAGTCCCAGATGTGTACCCTGACACAGACATATGTTCGCATATGCCCAGACCTCACATACAGTTGCCTGCTGCTGTGCACACAGCCCTAACTTGCCATACATGTGACTCACACTCACACTTTCACTCCAATGCAAATCAGCCAACGGCACCCCTCGTGCCACTTGCACACATCCGTGCTTGCAGGGCACACTTGCATTTTCAGGCTTTACACAAGGAGCGCACACCAGCACCTCCTCCTGGTGCATGCACATCAACACTTGCGCACCCTTTCAGTGCTCACCAGGGTACCCCAGAGTCAGTCCTTATACAACACACATCAAAATGCACACTGTGTGTGCATTCCAGACCTCACGCAGCACATTTCTGTTTATAGGGCCCCTCCGCCCTGGACCCCGGCTGCTACAGCAGAAACCACCCAGGGCACTGGAGCTGCTTTGCCCACAGGGCAAACCTGCCTCCGAACTGTACAGTTACCCTGGGTCCATCCCTGCATCTTCCACACACCCTACTGGGGGCATCTAGAAATGCTTCCCGGACCCTCCACAGGCAACTGGGGTACCCCAAGGGGCTCTCCTCTCCTCCACCCTCCCACCCTTCTCTCCACACCAGTCATCAGAGGCAGAAAATGAGCTCTGGGGCAGGACAACTTTGTCAAGGGACCCGAGCTGATGCACTGTCACCCCACTGGCCCTGCAACAACAATGCCCCCTCCCAACAAGCCTGAGTTTTGCAGATTGCCCTTCCCCTCCTCCCAACACCCAGAAAGCCTCACCAGTCGCTCAGTTATTAACCCCTGCCGTACCCGTGCCCTCACTCCTCAGGGGAGCAGGACGGGGGCAAGTGGGGAAAGATGTGCTTCCAGGGAGAAGTTGGCTGCTCTGCACAGTCTCTCAGGGTGTCTAAAGTCAGAAAGGACTGCCTGGGAGGTGGTGAACTGCCACCAGAGGTATCCACATTGATGCCAGATGGCCACCTCAAGAGAAACTCACAGGGAATTCCAGCCTTGGACTCAGCTGATGGGAAAATCCCTTGTAAACCCTGAGTTTCTAAGAATCTGTGTGTGCCCAGGTCATGTGCATGTGTGGGCAAGTGTGTACACTCACTGGCATGCACCGTCAACCCTTCGCCTCTACACACACTCTCGCCCAGCTGGCTTCGGCACATCCGTGTTCCTGCAAACATGCCCGTGCCAGTTCTGGGCACTCTGCACATGTCAGAGCCCCCAGGCACGCACGGCCTTCCTCCCTGAGCGAGGACAGGAAACACTGCAGGTGCACACCCCCGCCCGTGCCGCCTACCCCCTGCACCCTCCAGGACTCTCTAAGGTGTAACTCACTTTCCCAGTTCCTCAAAGAGCTGGTACTCTTCTGTGAAGCGGGTGCAGGTGATGGTGGCCATCCTGGTGCTGTGCGGGCGGGCGAGGCTCTGGGATGGAAGACCAGGGCTGGGGCACTGCTGTTCTCCGGGAACCAGGGGCCACTCGCCTGCCCGTGCTGCCAAGTGAGAGTCTAGAACCGGCTTGACTGATGAGCCCCCGGCTTCTGAGCAGGGCACTGTGGCTGCTCACAGCCTCGCGAGCCTTCGTCAGCATCCAGGTCGCCATGGCAACCACCTCAGAACCGCCCTGTTCCCGTTGCCTCGGTAACTGCCTCCCCAACACCTGCCTGCCTTCCATTGCAAAACCTGCTCCAGGATGCCCTGGCCCAACCGCACACAACACTGCAGGCATGTGTGAGCCTCAGGGGCAGGTGGACCAAGCACCCCCTCCCCAGGTGGTGGACCAAGGGAGGGGCTGCAGGAGGGGGAGGAGAACAAACTTAGTCTGCAAGTGATCTGCTTTCTTCCCACCTCCCCCACCTCCAACTGTGGGGTCCTCAGATGGGATTAAGTGGGGCAAAAAGGCAGTTGTCATGGTAATGGTGGGTTCCACATTCCAGGATGGTCCCCAGGAAAGACAAGATGCAGTTACCCTGGCAACTTCAGCTCCTTTGGAAAGACAGGTATTGCCCCGTTGCCCTGGCAACAGCCGGGTTCTAAGGTTTATAAGGAAATGATGGCTAATTCATTGGAATCTCTTTCATTCTCTCTCTCTCTCTCACTGTAGTCCCTGTAACTGTCTCTCGGCTCCCTTCTATTTTTTATTCGCTTTGCTTCTGCCTCTGTCCTTCTTATTTTGTTGTAGCTCTGTCTCCTCTTTGCCACTTTGTCCAGCACACTGGCGCCCTGGCTTGGAGAACAAGTGCAGGGGAGACACCAGGATTCTGGAAGGAGCATCCCTGGCTCCCTGCGCATGCCCACCTCTCCCAGCTGTAACAGTTGGTCCCCTCTTGAGGCCTCTTCCATAACCTCTCCTCCACCCCAGGCCCCCAGAGGGACCATGGAGATCTGGTACCCTGGGGCTCGTGTCCCAGTTTCTGCTTGTGCTTCAAGTCAAGGTGAAAGTGGAGGAGGAGGCGGGGGGAGGGAGCACCGCCTGGCTTGGAGGCAGGTGGCTGCAGTCTGCCCTGCAACTCTCCTTCCCAAGCTGTGTGGGCACTTTCCCTGCCAACTTCAACTCTTTGGGGCAACAGCCATCTCGGTGGCCCCAAAATCTCACTCCAGGGTCTGAGTTCAATTTCAGCTCCAGCATCTATTGGTTGTGTGGCCCTGGGGAAGTCACTGCCCCTCTCTGAGCCTTCAGCTTTTCTACAAAACAGAAGCTGCCACTGCAGAGGAAAGCTGTGAAGATGGAGTGGGCTGATGGCTGTGGAAGCCTCTTTTTAGGTTCTGGAAGAGAAAAAAGAAGGCCTAAAGCGGGACCATGACCACCCACATCACTCCAGATTGAACTTGGAATCCCAGACCCTTCTCTCCCTCCTCCCCACCCACCAAAGTGCATTTCATAGCCCACCAGGCTGAGGTCTCACGCCATCATTTGCCCACAATGAGCACAGTCCGGATATCAGGATCCGAACACTCGGGGTTTTAGCCCACCTCCTTGGGACCTCCAGATGGCCTTACTGGTCATCTCATTTGCTGGACACGATGTCTTCTTGTTGGTAATCCCCAAGCCCAGCAGGTCCCTGACTCCCATCTCTAAGTCCAGGGGCGCCTGGAGACATCAGGTACCCCCTCCTCCAAATTCTACCCCTTTTCCTGGAAGTTGAGGATGGAAATGATGGGGTTGGCTCTCTGATGCAACCACTTCTTCCCAGGAGAGGAACAGGAGGGAGACAGAGGGGAAGGCGGGGAGGCGAGCAAGGGAGGAAGGGTAATGGCTTAGCCACTAATTGCACCATTACCACCTTCAGAAAAAGGAAAAACCTCTCAGTTTTGTTTCTGTGCACAATATGCTTCCTGCTTCTGCCGCCAACGTTGCAATTCAGAAGCAAGGAAGACAAGCCTATGCTCTGGGCTCACAGCCGGTGGGCAGCAGGCAGGGCACGGAACACCGCTAGAGGCGGGGTATGCAAGCAGGGAGGTGGGGGGAGGGCGGCGCCACCATCTCCCACTCCAGCCCTGCTAGCTGGCTCCCAGCGGGGATGGCTTCCACACATGAAAGTGCTGGAACAGCTTTTAGGGACCATGGAGGGCATCCTAGTTATTGCCCAGGAGAGAGGAGGGCGTGCAATGGTTAGAGCAGCTCCATGACCTACAGGCTGTGGGATTTGGGATGAATATTGTAACTTCTCCGTGCCTCAGTTTCTTCATCTGCAAAGCAGAGTTAAAAATATGCCCTACCTCCAGAGCTGTCATATGGATCACATAAGATAAGCACATTGGGTGACACTGTATATGCTCAATAAATAGGCATTATTATTATTATTATTATTATTATTATTATTATTGAGGGATTAAAAAGACCCTCCTCTCCCCATTACTCTCTCTGCACCATGGAAGCTCATGCCACCATCTCCAAGTCCCTGCACTTTGGGGGTGTTGGTCTCTGAGTCTCCACTGGAGTTGGGCTCGTGATTTGAACATCACCTTGCCCAGGCCTGGTTTGTAGCAACTCCTGTAGAGCAAAGGACCGGGGCTATAGGGAGAGGGGTCACAAAGCCTGACGCCGTATTAATGGGAATCTAACATTCTGCAAGAAGGAGCTGATGGCCTGGCTTCCGCTGGCCCGCCCACCCTGTGTCCTCCTCCTCACTTTGCCCCATGGCACGGAGCCCGTCCAGGAGAGAGCAGAGCACGTGGTGGGGGAGGTCCCAGCATCATCTCAGGGGGAAGCAGCCGTGGCTCAGAGGAGGACATGAAGGGACAGAGGCACAGATGACCAGCTTTCACCCTGACTCTGGCAGAGACCTTGGGAGGTGGCTGATGTGGCTTCAGAGGGCAGGCCACTTCGCCCTATCACCGCTGTCACCGTGGCGGCTCTTCCCTGCTCCCATCACTCTTTTCAGCTCTCCTTCCTTGTTTCCCTCCCTCGAGCCCTTGTCTCTCAGTGCTCCCCCTCCTCCTCCCCATGCCTTTTCACCTTTTTTGTCTCCCTCTCCCTTCCTTTCTGCCCATCTCCATCACTCTTCTCTCCCTCCCGGTGCCAGCCCAAGCCTGTGCCCAGGGTCCTGGGGGATGGGCAGGACCCAGGCTGCGGGATCCTGAGGGTGGAGAGATGGCTGGAGAGGAGGGAGGGGAGGAACAGGAGAGAAAAGAGGAAAAGGTCTCCTTGGCAACTCTCTCTTACACACACACACACACACACACACACACACACACACACGCGCGTACGCGCGCGCCCCGAAACCTTCGAGAGCCTCGCACAGGGGTACGGGCACTGCCTTGGACCGGGACCCCCATCTGGAGTGCAAACTGCCACCCTGCTGCGGAGGCACCGCTAATTCACTGCCTCCCCTGTGCCCGCAAGGCTGGCAGCTGTGCCCAGTGGTGGTAGGCAGCGAGGAGCCAGCCCTGCCTCCCTGGAGCTGAGAGAATGCGCCGGTGATTGCATCGGGGGTGGGGGCTGTTCCTGCCAGACTCTCCCTCCCCAGGGCCGCAGCAGGCATGCGAGCCAGCACGTGTGCCCCCATCTGCGACATGTGTGCGGTACTCAAGAGCAGGACTGCATGCCACGGGCTGGGGGCCAGGGGGGTGGGGGCCCTCCAGTCGCTGAACACAGCGCTGACACGCTAGGATAGGGACCATGAACATGAGCACAGGCTGTGCCCCTCGTATACGGGGAGGGACAAATAAGGACCAGGGTCAAGTTCCTGGGCCATGGTAGGGGTTGGGTGGGGGCTGAAGCCCCAGTAGCATGACAACTGACAAGTTCCACCTTCCACAGCCCACACATGTGTTCGCATGTACACACCCAAGTGTCTCAGGGTCCTGCAGGGCCTGGGCAGGCACCCAGAAAACGTGCCATCCAAATGGTCCCCAAGAGGCCTGTCCCACTAAGGGCAGTGAGCGTAAGGGGGCAGAATCAGTGGAAATTGGGCCAAGAGAAAAATGATCCTGCAGAGGGTCTAGGCAGAGGGTGACTTGGTTATTTTGCTGCAGAAACTCCAGGCTTGCACTCAAAAGGGAGAGAAGTCAGGGGTCACGGAGTAGCACTGTTTCCTGAGATGTCCCACACAGAAGGCATTCCTTACAGGGGAGAGGGAAGCAGGGAGCCAAGGGACAGAGGACAACAGCTGCTGGGCCAGTGTCTGCACAGCACGGCCTGCAGTTAGAGGATCCAAGTTCAAGTTCTCCCATTGGCTCTGCGTGCTCATGGCACGTCTTTTCCCCATTGGGGCCTGCACTTCCTCCTGAGAAATATGGGGACAAGATGTTCCTTCACAGGCTCCAAAGGACACTTTAGAGCCAGGCCCTGTGCTCAGCCCTTGACATATTGCACTATTAATACCTCACAAGGAATGTGCATGAGACAGGTACAGTCACTGCCCATTTCACAGAGATGGGACATGACTTACCCATCTAGGGTTGGTGTGACTTCCGCTACCTGCCCTGTGTTCTTTAGCCTCCACTAGAGCTGGAAGGGCCCTGAGAAAATCCATGCCCCCTACAGATGGGGGACCAAGGCCCAGAGAGGGGACGCTTCCCTCTCGCAGTCACACAAGTCAGGAGCGGAGGCAGGACCACAGCCCGAAACCCCTGACTCCCAGAACAGTGCTCCTCCCTTCCCTGCTCTGCCTTCCGCGTTCCAGACACCACCGGGCTGCTTGCCTCCGTCTCAATATAGCCAGTAGGCACCGAGAGAGGAGGAAATCGTGTTAAGGCCCAGGGTGGGTCTCATGCCCCACCCCCCAGCCAGGTCTGGGGCTCTCTTCTGGCTCTGAGGAGACTGGTCATCGCTGCTCAGGATTCCATAGGCAAGGCCCAGCTCAGACAGGCCCGTCCTTGGCTCAGCCCCATCAGGCTGGCAGACCTGCTGCCGTCTGGTCCAGCCAAGGGGCAAAAGGGGCTTGTCTGGCATCTCGGGCTCCACTCCCCCAGATCAGTGACCCAAGGGGCCAGAGCTACCTCTGATCTGCTTCCTTCCCATCACCTCCGCACAGGTGATGTGAGCACCTGCTTGGTGATACAAGTCAGAGGCCTGGCACAGAGTCCAGCCCCAAGTGTCCCGGCTTGGGGGGTGCAGGAGCCACTAGAGGCTAGACAGGGACCAGCAGGAGTCATGCTGATTGCTGGGCAGAGCAGAAGCCACAGCAAGCAGCCTGAACCTCTTGTCACTACACCCTGAGTTCTGGTCACTCCTTATCCCAAACGCCCTCCACCCATCTCAGGTCAGGGCCAGCAGCCAGCACCCCGGTTAGGCAGGCTTGGGGGCTGCTGGGCTGCGGACCAGATCGCAGGCTGAGGCTGGAGTGGGGCTTCCGGGCTGTTTGCTGGGCTCTGGGTTAGGTAGGACGCAGCCAGGTGAGCTGTAGGCTGGGTTGGAGGTCAGATCAAGCCTTCTGAGGAAATCAGGAGCAGGAGCCAGCCCCCAACCCCAGCGGGACTCCCTGCCTGGGGCCAGGTTGGCCAAGGGGGTGGGCCTTGGTATGTAGGAGAGAGCTGAAAGGACCTTTTATAGTTCTGCCATTGTGGCCCCAAAGAGCAGGGGCCTAGCAAGAGAAGCGGGGCTGGGGCCAGAGGCAGGGCCACCTCGGGCAGGGTAGACTCAGCAAGCGCAGGCAAGCCTATTACTCAGCTGGTATAAGCCAGAGCCACGGGGGATCCCTTGATCTTGTCATTGCTGGGAAAAGCCCCCTGCATAGCTGGAGTAGCCTGGGTAATGGGTAGACTATGAACAACCCCTCCCCGGGGTACACTGGGCCTGGGATGCTGTCCCAATGGGTGGCTTCTTCCAAGTCTCCGTCCTGAGCAGGCAGAAGCTCTGGGGCTGGCGAGAATCACTGGCCTCTGCCAGTCCTGGTCCCTGCCCACCCCAGTCCTGGCATCAACGTTTTGGAGAGAGAGAAAGGTTCCAATTGGAGGGGCCCAGGTTTGGGAGGAAGGGGCCCAGGGCATGAATGGTCACCTCCGCCCTGCGGCCCTAGGACAGACCTTCACTCCCAGGTTAAGCCACCTCTGCAGTGGAGATGCAGCTCTTAACGCACACCCAAACCCCCTCCACCGCACCGCACCCACCCCACCCCGCCCCACTCGTCCTGCTCATCCACAGGCTGACGAGTCCTAACAGGCCTCCTTTGCCAGTGACAAAAATAACTATTTTCAAAATTCACAGCAGGGCTTTCGCCTACACACGCTGTGCCGACTGGAACCTGAAGGGAGATACGCAGAACGCAGTGTGCGGATGGAGGCACACTATGCAGCACGGAGGCTCGGAAACCCCACGCCCCTCCTCCCACCACTCAGCCCATGTTCCCCAACACACAAGCATGTGTGCGAGAGCCCAGCATGGCAAAGTGGGAAGGGATCTTAGATCGTCCGCTGCACACGGGGGGCAGCGAGGCCCAGAAAGGGTCTGGGATTTACCTGAGGTCACACAGTGGATCTGTGCCAAGACAGGACCAGAACCCACACATTCAACTTCCAGGCCAAGCTGCCTACCTCTTCTCCCATACCAGCGGCCAGTGGTTAGCTCACACCTGCCCCTTGGACGCACATGCACACAACCACGTGCTCACAGACAGCACTACAGCCCTTGCTTCTATGTTACTGCATTTTAATCAAGTTCATGGGCTTCTCCACAACCACTAGCCTGGCCAGTCCTCTACAGCCCTGTGAGGTAGGCAGAGCCAAGGCTAACATCCCCATTTGCAATGGGGAAATTGAGACCCAGAGGGGAAGGACTGGGCTCAAGTTCAAAGCAGAACCCAGATGTCCTGACCGTTGGTTCAGGGGCTCTTTTCAGAGCTGTTTCCTCCACCCTGGGTCCTGCAGCAGCTAACAGCCAGGCCAGTTCCTCTGGGCGCTGGGGACAGGAAGGAGAGCTTGCTACTACAGCTCCCACCACCAGTCCAGCCCCAGGGCTGGCCAAAGCCATGTGAAGAACCAGGAAGGTCACCTCCCTGGCTCCCTGCACCTCCGCCCGCAGTGCTCGGGGATCTCCTCAGAGTGGCCAGACTGCCCTGCCTCAGCTGGGGTCCAGGCTTGGACTCGCCTCCACGTGTCTTCTCACCCAAGCAGTTCCGCAGAGGTCAGGGTTCCAGGATAAGAACTTGAATGAGCTGGGACGTAGGGCGGTCCCAGGAACTCTACCATAGCACCAGGCACCGGGTCCAAAAAACAGTGCCACAATGTCATTAGAACTCATTTCACAAATGAGAAAAGTGAGACCCAGAGAGTTTGTGCCGGTCACCCGAGGCCACAGAGTAAGTCAATGGAGAGGTAGGGCTGGGATCCAGGAATCCCAGTCTAGTTTATTTGGCCCCCACCCCCAAGCCAAGCTCCCCAGTCTTCAATTGTGGGGCTGTATAGCCTCCATTTCCCTGCAGGTGGGGACGTGACCTCAGGCCCCTCCCTGGGGAGAAGCAGGACCAGGCTTGAGTGGGGGAATATATTTAGGAAGGCAGAGAGCCTCACCTTCCCCCCACCCCCATCAGATCCTTTGGGACATCAGCCTGGTGTTGAGTTTACGGAAAAATGATCGCAGCTTGCAAATCTTGCATTTTTTCTTGCGGCGCCCCCGGGAGAAGCTTCGAGACCTGGCTTCCTCCTCCTCCTCCTCTTCTTCCTCATCACTGGCCCAGGGTCCCCAAGCACCCCCATTAAAGTCAGGATGGGCCCGGGGGTTCTCCGCTGGGTAGCGCACGGGGATGGCTGTGCGGTTATAGTCTGCCAGGCGGGCCAGCAGGGCACGGACCACATCGGGCCGCTGGCCAGCTAGGTCCTCCCGTTCATAGGGGTCAGCACTGATGTTGAAGAGCCACACAGCCTGGCGGGCACTGGCCATCCGCTCCAAATTCCACCAGCTGCCAGGGAAGGCAGCCAGCGTCTGCGGCGGGATCCAGTCGCCGTAGCCAGGGTCTCCCGTCAGCAGCTTCCACTCGCCCACGCGGATGGCAGCCTGCACAGCCGTGTTCCAGATGCCGAAACCCCCCTCGAGGGAGCCGTGCCGCGCATGGTTGTAGAGTGGGTCGATGTTGTGCAGGATCTCCGTGCGTGGTGAGGCCCGGCCCTCGCTGATGGCTGGCCACACATCATAGCCATCTAGCCCATCCGCCGCAGAAGCAGTGCCACCTGCCAGACCCACCAGGGTCGGGTACCAGTCGGTGATGTGCACCAGTGCCCGGCTTGTCCGTCGCTTTCGTTTGAGCAGGGGGCTGTGGACGAAGCCCAGGCCCCGCACGCCACCTTCCCAGTAAGTGCCCTTACGTCCTCGCAGCGGCCAGTTGCTGCCCCCCGAGAATGTCTGGCCACCATTGTCACTGGAGAAGATGATTACACTGTTGTTGTAGAAGCCATAGCGCTTCAGGGCCCAGGTGATGTTGCGCACGGCCTCATCCATGCAGGTCACCATGGCTGCGTACTTCCGCCGGGCCACGTTGCCCATGCTGCGGTAGCGGTACAGGTACTCACGGGGGGACTGCAGGGGCGTGTGCACTGCCTGGAAGGCCACGTAGAGAAAGAGGGGCTGCCGGGGGCTGTGGCTGGCGAGGATGTGGCTGACGCGCTGGGCATAGAGCATGGTGGAGTATTGGCCGCTGAGCCCCCAGGCCACACTCTCGCCCTCGTGCAGGTCAAAGCCGCACACCCCAGGGCCGTCACAGTTGTCGTAGGTGTAGTAGTCCACGTTGCCTGTGAGCGAACCCAGGAAGGTGTCGAAGCCCCGGCGGGTGGGCAGGCACTCCTTCCGGTAGAAGCCCAGGTGCCACTTGCCCACCATGTGGGTAGAGTAACCTGCCTCCTGCAGCTTCTGGGGCAGGGTCACCTGGTCCAGGGGCAGGCAGTTGGGCTGCCGAGGGCGGATGATGGAATGCTGAAGTCCTGTGTGGATCTGGTACCTGGTGTGAAGCGCAGAGGGCACAGAAAGCACAAGTAAGCTACCAACCACTGCCCTGGCCGTCCAACCCCCAATACTCACCCTGAGGCGGGCTCTGGTCCCAGCGCGACCAGCATACACAGTAACAGTAACCAGCAGGCATTATCCAATGTGCTGAGCACTTCAAATGCATGACCTCTTTGAATCATCAAAATCAATTGCAGCAGATATTATTATCATTTTACAGATGAGGAGGTTGAAGCTCAGAATGGTTGAGCCACTCACCCAGGATAACACAGCTAGGAATTTGGGGAGTCAAGGGTCAAACCCAGGTTCATCATGGCCACAAAATAATAATAGCTAACACCAAGCACTCACTATGTGCTCAGCATGGCACTAAGGCCCTGTATGAATTATCTCACTAAATCCTTCCTGCAGCCTAGAGGGCGCATATCATTATTATTCCCATTTCCCAAATAAAGAAACTGAGACTCAGTTAAAAAAAATCACTTGCCCAGTGATTCATACAGTTAGTAACTAGAGTTGGAATTTGTATCCCCAGCGGTCTTTAGAGACTACAGGGTCCCTAAGTCCTAAGCCACTAACTTGCTTTGGGGCCTAGAGAAGTGTTGCCCTCTCAGGCAAACTCCTACTCACCCTTCAAAGCCCGTCCAAAAGCAATTGCGGGGGTAGGAATGTATCGGCCTCAGGAGCTACTGAGGTGATAGAATGTACTAGGACATTCTATCCTCGTACAGTGCGGGGGTTGGGGGAGGTCAGCCTAAACATTATCCCCTCTGTAAAGTCTCTTACGAGTCTTTCAAAAAATGAGTCCCTTTTGCTTCTGAGTTCCCCCGGCATTTAGTGTGCATGATCATTGTCATACCTGGCCATGAGGTTCTACTCAGTGTACATGTTGTTGAGCCCAGTGTATTCCTAGCACACAGGTAGTGTTTAAAGAGCACTCAATTACTTATGGAACGAATGAATGATACTATGAGGGTCTTAGAGCCGGAAGGAACCCAAGTCATCTTCTAGATTATTCACCTTGTCTTGAAAAAGAACTAAGATCCCGAGGAGGGGAAGGGCCTTCCCCAAAGTCATTCAGAGGTCAGGGCAGAGCCAGGACTTGAACCTAAATGCAAACAGTCCAAGCACAGACCCTTTTCCAGAAAACTAGGCTGCCACTTCCCTTCCTCTGTGGGGGCCTCAGTTTGCTCATGAGTGAGTTGGTTGCAATGGGAGACCTTTAAAAATCTTTCAGTTCCCAAATTCTATGAGACCACTTCTTCTGCACCTGTCTGTAAATTCATCTGGCCCCTGGACCCGGGTCATTTACACAGGCTCACACCCTGAGGCAGAAGCAAATGGTTAGCAGAATCCTACATTTCTCACTCCTTCACTCCAACCCCATTCTCCCTGATGTGATAAAGGCCCTCGTGTGATCCCTTATAGGATCTTGTCTTTACTCGAGTCTTAAAAGTCCAGAGTAAATAAAAGCCTGGAACTTTACAAGTGTAATACAGTCCCATACCTTCTTTCTACCTCTCCCCTCCCCCAAGCCCACCCCAGGGTATCCAAATTAAACCGAGACCTGACACCTGAATACCTGACATCTTTAACCCAGGTACTGGGGTGGGTTTTTTTGTTTTGGTTTCCTAATCTTATAGCTGTTATTGTTAGCTATAATTAACTACCACTGCCATTTTTAATACTATATGCCACATATGTTATTTCACTTAATCCTCGTAAAAAAACCTACAGGGAAGACTATCACTCATTACCTTCCTTCTACAGATGATGAAACTGAAGCTCCCAAAAGTGAGGCGACAGGTCCAAGGTCAGACAGCTGGCAAGCAGTGGAGCTGCGCTTTGAACCCAGGTCTACACAATTCATGCTCCAAATTTCTCAGTGATGAGGCCTCTGAGGACCTCAGGCAGGCTAATGAATGATTAGATTTGATTCCAGAAGTGCTCTAAGGCCCTGAGTCAGGGCCAAGCCTCTCTTTCTAGGGGCTGGGCACCATGGAGCACTGTTGTGTAAAGTGGGTGGGCCGGCTCAGAGTCCCTGAAGCCCGTGTGCAAATGAGTAACATGAGAAACGTTGGCTCTCTCCAGCTTCACCAAACACGGCTGGATTTATTAACAAACACTAATGAGAGTCGTCAGCATCAGTCAGATGGAGCCAGCTGCAGGGGGCGGAGGGCAGGCGCTGCCCAGCCACGCTCAGCTAACTTCACAGATGGGGGGGGGGGCTGGAATACTGCCCTGCTGGCTGCTCATTCCCCTGCTTAAACCAAAAGTCACCTCGTGGGACAGAAATGATAACTTGTGCACAAATCCCGGGAATGCAGATTCCTCCTCCCTCTTCTGGAGGTTAGCCACCATTTGGTCTTCACCACCCCGGCCACCCGCAACACATACAGTGGCCCCTCTTCGTCTTTCTCCCATTCTCTCTCTGTTCCTGGACCTAAATGCTGAGTGCCAGCTTGGAGGAAGAAAAGGCAGCTATTTGACTCCCAGCTCCAGGACCCGTGCCAAGTACCTGGTCTCTCAGCCCCCTTTCTTACAGAACCTGAAGTTGGGTACAGGCATGAATGAGATGGGCCCTGCCTGACTCCATGCCTCAGTTTCCCCCATCCAGGAATCGGGGAGATCACGGCTCTGGTTCCTGAGATCACACTAGTGGCTTTTGGGTGGAACTTGGGAGAAAGCAGGCCTTGGACCCCATCCAAGGAGGATTAGCTTCAGCCTTGCCAAAGGATTTTCTCCTAAGTGGCCAGAGTTTGCTTTCCACACCCCCACCTCCTGTTTCCTTGCACTTTTAATCCTGTGATCCTGCCACCTTGCCTGCGGACGACTCCTTCTGCGAAAGCAGCGTGTCTCCTTGGGACTCCCAGCCAATGTGAGAGGCTTGGAGAAATGAAGTAACTAGCCTAAGGCTACTTAGGTCACAGCATCCTATGTGTGTCTTCCACTTCCACCTATCAATACTTCGGTTTCTCCCCAATGTAGTCATCAAATTAACCCTTCCAGTGACATAGAGGCTGCCCATTCATTGACAGCCAGGCAGGTTACAGGAAATTCATTCCATCCTTACGACTGTTTCTCGAAAGAAAAACTGTCCTTCACCCCATTTTATGGAGGAGAAAACTGGGGCTTAGAGAAATTAACTAATTTGTTCAGGGCCTTGGGGTGTGTAAACGGAAGCACCATTCAAACCAAAGCATCAGAGGCTGCCATGTTCCCTTAACAAAGGGATGAGCAGATGTCTCCTTCGCAGGGTGTGGAGTGTGAGTGTCCTAGAACACAAGAGGGATGATTCAACCAGAGGCCCAGAGAGAGCAAAGGATTTAGATCACACAGCCAACTGGAGACAGAATTGGTCCCGAGTCCCAGGTCCCAGAGGTGATGTAAATGCAGGGGAAATCTGCGACTGGGTTTATTTGGGGCTTGGACAGACAGCCCCAGGGCCTGGGTCATGCCTACCTGCCAGTGAGAAGTTGGCTCCGTGAAGGCGTGCAGATGGGCTGGATATAGTAATTCTCCAACTTGACACCCTCGGCGGCCAGCCGGTCTAGCGTAGGGGTCTCGATATCTGAGCCATGGTAGCCTACGTCGTGGTAGCCCTGGTCATCGGTGAGGATGAAGATAATGTGGGGAGGCTGGGGTGGAGCGACGGAGGGCTGCTCGCTGGCCTCGCCGGGCCCGTCGGCCACCAGGCTCGGCTTGGCCCAGTCCCAGGACAGGTAGCCGAAGCTGAGCAGGCTGACCAGCGAGAAGCCAGTGAGGGCGTGCATCGCCAGGCCGGCCCGCGCGCGTCTTGGCATGCAGAGCTCCCCAGGCCTCACCGCCGCGCGCGCCCAGGGCGCACGGCCCGCACGCCCGCCGGCCGGCTCGCCTGGACGCTGCGAGAGCGCTCAGCGCCCCCGGGGCGCCCCCAGTGAACGGTCCGGGACTGGCGTTCAGACTGCGAAGCCGGACCTGCGCGGCCACAGCGGGGCGCCCTGGGGAGGTCAGGCCAGCGCCCAGCTGCCTCCCACCGCCCTCTCGCGCACCCAGTGCCGCCCCTGCTCCCTCTCCCCCTAGCTCAGCTGGGCCAGCCTGAGAAGCAGCGTGGTGACTTCCAAAAAGTGCTCTCCACCATCCTCGAACTCTCTCTCCTCTTCCTTCTAGCCCTCGATTTCTCCCGCCTCCTAATTTCTCTCGCCTCTGCTTTCCCTTTCTCCTCCCTCCCGACCCTCCAGCCCCAGGCCCGGCCTCTCGCCCCGCCCGGAGTCTTGAGAACAGTCGGCCTCCCGGCAGGGAGGTGGGCAGGACCCCAGCGGGAAAGGGGAGGGAGGCACGGGTTGGGCGGGTCTGGGGTTGACACCGCGGAGAGAATGCGAAAAAGTTGTAGCATCTGCCGGGCCGAGCCCCAGGTGGAGGGGCGGGACCCCGGGCGGCGGCTCCGCCCCCGGGCGGGAAGCCCGGGCCCGCTCGGCCCTCCGGCTCCAGCCCCCACCCTGGCCGGGTCTGGGGAAAGGAGGGAGGGGGCTGCTTGGAATTCGATGGAACAGCTCCGGAATGGCCCGGTCAGACATTCCTCGATTGTGGAGTCTTAGCATCTTCTGAATGCCAGTCCTGGAAGGGAAGCGCATAATTTTCTATTCCAACCAGCTCATCTACCGTACGAGAAACTGAGGCCCTGAAATGGGCGGGAACTCGTCTAAGTCATGGAACAAGTTAGTGGCTTCTTTCCTTGGCTCGCGGTGGCTGTTTGAGTGGCAGTAGAGAGAGCAATGGAGCATAGGAGACGGCTTTGGCAAGCACCAGGGGCTGGTAATCAGGAAGCTAGGTTCTGGCCTTGCCAGCTTCCCTCTCCTGCCCCCCCACCCCCCACCCCCTCATCCTGCAATTCACAACTGGAACCTTAGAATGCCAGTGCTAGAATCCGAAGGGCAGGGGCTGTTGTATACATCTTGTATCCAGGGGATGTAGAGGCTCAACCAGTATGTGCAATGTGAATGAATGAATGGATGAATGGACCTCAAGGGTCATCCAGGCCAACTGTCACCCAAGAAAATCTGCCTGAAAGCAAGCCCAGGGGACTCCTGGGCCAGGCAAGTATCATAAATGAGTAAAGCCGGGGGCTCTCTGTATTGCCAGAGGAAGGCAGCAGGAGACTGTGGGCCAATGCAACCGAGTCTTCTGATTTTTAAGAGAACCCGAATGTAGTCTATTATGAGAACTATTCCAGCTGTTAAGTGTTAATAACTAACTTAAAGCAAAATTTAAACACTGCACAATCTAAAGCAAACCTATCTAAGGACTGTTTTAGGCCATTGGGTGCCCGTTTGCAACTTCTGCATTGCTTGCCAAATTTTTACCACTCTATGTTTTTAAATGGGAGAACTGAGTTAAACAGGACCAGGAGTTCAAATGCTTAATACGCAGATCTCCAGGAGGGAGGTTGGTGAAGCTGCATTTCCCAGTCTCACGTGACCAAGGACCCTGCGTTTCACAGAGCCTCTCGAAGAGGCAGTGTTTTGTGAACTTTGGGAAACAAAGACTGTCCAGGTGTGACTTCTCTCCTGGCGCCTTTCCCCTGCCAGTATTCTGTCACGATCCTTTCCTGCGTCCTTAAAACCACCGAGTGCGGGGAAGGACACCAGACCTCCAAAATAGCAGCCGGAGTCCATCTGCATTTTGAAATGAGGGCTGCGTGGGGCCACCACTCAACGGCCCATATTTAGGGTGACCAGATTTATCAAAAGGGAAAACGGAGTGTGTTGTTCTGGCAGAAGACATGTTAAGGACAGACAAGAAAAATACAGCCTCCTGAGGGGAAGGCTGCTAAAATGATGCTTTGGCAGAGGCTATCCTCAGGGGTCAAAGTGGGACATGCCACGGGGGAGTCAGACGGACTTGGGTCTCGCATTCTTTGCATCGTCCCAGATCTTGGTCCGGAGGAACTGGAGAAATGGCACAAGTATAAATGGCAATGGGGATGAGGTGGGTTTTCAGCCCCCCCCCACCCCCTGGGGAAAAGGTCTAGGAGGCTCAGGGCCTGCAGATCTCTGCGAGGCTGTCACAGGACGACAAGACAAGCACAGTTTCTGAGAGGTCACCCTTGTGGGCACTGACATCAGGCTGCTTGAGTGCAAATCTTCCCGCTTATTTGGGGTCAGGCCTTGGACAAATTATTTTACCTCCCTCAGCCTCGATTTCCCCATCTGTAAAATGGGATAATAATATAAATGAGATACTACGCAGCGCTCGGTAATGGGGCCGGCACATAGTAAGCACTCGATGAATGTGAGCAGCATTCATGATTGACCTCTGTGGCTCTGAGAGAAATGACCAAGTCCTGTAAGTGAAGGTGACTGGAAGACAGATTTCAGGCCAATGTAAGGGATTACTTCTGTAAGTCATCTGGCAGCTTAATAAAAGGATGACAGCGATGGGTGAATCACCATGTGGCGAAAGTGGGTGGAGCTCTTGGACCTGACTCTTTTTTTTTTTTTTAAGACTTGATTTATTTTTTAGAGAGAGGGGAAGGGAGGGAGAACAGGAGGGAGAGAAACAGTGATCTGCCCCAAACCGAGGACGTGGCCCACAACCCAGGCATGTGTCCTGACGGGAAACCTAACTGGTGACCTTTTGGTTCGCAGGCCAGCGCTCACCCGACTGAGCCACACCAGCCAGAGTGGGCCTAACTGTTGTTTCTCGATGTTCACATTTCTTTTATGAGTTCCTCAGTAATCACCCCAACCCACAGTGTTCTCAGAGAGCACCATTCCCCCTTTCCTGCTCTAGGGAAATAAATCCTGACCTTCAGCTCTTCTTTTAATGCCATTACGCAATGAGGCCAGGCTGGAACGTTTAAACCAGACCCTTCCAAAGGCAAAGAGGAAATAACCACAAAGAGTAATGTGAATTCGGGTCATACCGCTTTCAAGGTGTGACTCACTCATCTTCCTTTTGTGCCCTCTGCAGGATGCCTACCTGCCTTCTTTCCTGGGACAACGTCCATCAGCCCAACTCCCACCCAGGTAGACTCTCAAGAACTCTAAGATGTATCAATGTCAGGCCCAAGAAGTAAGTCTCAGAGAAACAGAAGCTAGCCTTTGCAGTTTCTATCTCAGGACCCAGCTGCTTCCAAGATGATTGACAGCAGGAATATCTACCTCATTCAGGTAAGATCTGTCCACCTCCTCACAGAGGTGAGCACTCACCCCGTAACCCCTAAAGGGCAGCTGCATAAAACACTGGGAGAAACCTAACATCTGCACACAAAATGCAGATCAGATGTGGGAGGGATACAGCGTGGCTACTTCCTGTCAGAAATTTCCATCGATGAAATCAGACTTCAAAAAGTGCTGAGCTCCTCCTCACTGGTATTATGCAAGAAGGGGATAAAGTGCCTATCTGTCCAGGAAGTAACAGAAAAGAGCCCTAAGCTAAAAATGGGGAGCAAAACTCAAGGACCTTAAAATTCTTTCCAACTTGAAAATGTCATGATTCTAATTATTTATCCTCAGAAAACTTTTTAGGATACAGAGATATAAAAGTGAAAAACTGGGTGAGTCGGTTTTGTGGCTTCATTGCTATGCATGGTGTGTGTGTGTATGTTTGGCCACCTTTGAACTAAAATTATCTTAGTACAGATATTATTTCCTTCTGACTTCATTGACCTTGGCAAAGATCTTACGCCCAGATTTTGCACGCTGTCATCCTCTGGAGGTCCATTTGTCGAGGCTGGATCACATCAAGGGCCTAAAAGAAAATGGAGACAGCCTCTGAGCAGGCAAAAATGTCAGGGTTCAATCCTTTAACTCAGAAGAGAGCTCCTGGGGCCTTCCTCGCTCCAAGCCTAGGGACTCTTACTTCATTCACAATTCTTCCAGGGCTTATGATTTCATTTCCCAACCCTAGAGTATTGGAAGCAGCTCAGAAAGAATATATAAGAAGGTGGCTTGAGGCAACTGCCTGTTGGACACTAATTCAGTGTCAAAGTGAAAACATTAGGGAGAAACAAAAGAATAAACATAAAAATGAGATTGGTGAATTCCAAAAGGCTAGGAGTTTGGGCCCATTTGTACAGGAGCAAAGAACCACACCTACCTAAACACACCCAAGGGCATAACCAAGTCACAGCCCAGCCCAGTCGGGAATGATGGGTTGCCCTCTAGAGTGTCAATTCAGTTCAGGATCCTTTCTCTGACAACGCTAGGGAAGATCTGGGCTATTTTTTTAAGTTTTCCATTCCAAAGTCGTTACTATGACGAGGTCATGGTATAAGCTCAGCGTCCGTTCTAGAACATTCTCCCTGAAGATGCAGGCTCAGGAGGTGACAATGTCTGCAGTGGGTTCCATGGTGATGAGGAGGCTAGGAGTCAGGCCCAGAAACCCAGCCGCATGCCCAGTGGCAGGCCCTGCTCATCCACCTCCTGCCTCCTCTTCGCAGCCCTCAGATGCCAGCACAATGTTCCCTGCACTTCAGGAGGCAAAGGTTCTGTGTTTTGAAAGGGCAAGTGGCCCTTGGGTAAGTAGCACACTGAGTGGAGCACAGAGTTCCGACAGTTAGGCCACATCCTCCTACCAAGCAGCTTCTCGCTCTGGGAAAGACCTCCACAGGAGAAAATGCCCCAAGTTCCCTTGGACAGCTAGTCTAGTGACCATTGGTTCCCACTTTAACTCCTACACTCTTGACTAGGGTCATTAATTAGAATTAGTTAATGATTAATGGAAAAGTTGGAGGTGTTTCAGAAAGCCACACTGGCTATGTGATGGAGAACGTATTGCAGAGGCCCAAGTT